TCTGGATTAGATTCATATTCAAACTTATCTCACAGTGTGATGGTGACGCATTCGTTTAGCCGCTGTCACCAGCCTGCTTCGAACCCTATGTGATCCGAGTATTGAGCCACGTCAAAACCGTTCAACTTTCGTGGTAGGCAGTTTTGCTGTCGCCTGATTCAATATCACGCCTAGCCTTGCGTGGTTCGCCATTCCAAATCACACGGTGCTTAAATTATCGGTTTCCAACACTGAACAGCAGGTTTTCGTGACATGACGTTCATCACACCTCCGATGAGTAATAAAAATGGTTACTTGTTCGTCGTGGATCAATTGATGGTGATGATGCGAAAGTGCGGCCTGATGAGTGGTCAGTTGAATTCAACGGGATTTAACTTAGTTACAGGTACCACTAAAGTGAATGTGAAGGCGAAATACGCCAGGTTAGGAGAACCTATCACCACCACGAACACAATAGATTATACTATATTTTCACTCGCGTCTGAGTTTGGGACTGTAGACCAAACAAATCACGGTACAATACTCTTTAGAAAAAGACAAAAGGTTTATGAAGCAGGTCGAAGAAAAGATGCACGAGCCACGCACACATCGGCTCGATATGATATTGGATACCTTGGACGTTTAATCCCGCCCAAAGGGTGAATGATCTGATGAACTGGACAACGACCCCTAGTGAATTACGGTTTTCACACACCGCCTCGCTGCTTTGCTGATCAGGCCTTGGTTAGACAAAGACTCTGATTGTGAATTCTTCAGGAAAATTCACGTGCTTTGCACTGGGTAACCTAGGTGTATCGCGCCCTCGAACAAATCATGGATAACAAAGAAAAAACAAAACTGACAGTATTTAAAACATACAAGAGACTGTTCACCTGAGACGAGACAGTATTGAAGATTATCGGATAAGTGAAACATAACCCCGAAACTACTTCACTCGCTCTTTCATCTCCCATCTGAGTTGGGAGGTTTTTGAGACATCTAAAGAAAAACTTCACTGGATAACAAAGAAACTATTCTGGTTAAAACAGAATACAATCGGACTGAGCATAGAGACACAATTACTAACCAAGTCACTTGCGAAAATTGTACGAACATTATAACCACTCCGTTTGGGATGGAGTTGAATTCCAGTCGAGAACGATCATTTTCGCATGAACTGTAATACTAACAAAGCAGGTACTTTTATTACGATAACCGTCAACGTGCACCAAACGGGTAACAGGGGTTAGACACATGCACAGAATACGTGTTCATGTCAGCTAGTTCAAAACAGGTCTGTAAAACCACAAGTATGTGTGTGAGAGAGTACCTGAGGGGAGTTTAACAGATACGCCGTTGGTTTCGCAGAGTCCAACTGGAAGAATATCTGATTCAGTATGAAGACAGTCGTCGTGTGCCCGGGGGCAGATAACGAACATGCACAGACAAGACCCAGAGGGGAGGGGATAAAAAAGGCACCTCGTGTTGTTTACTCGTTCGAAACACATGACACAATTCGCATTGGGTTTCACCAATGTGTTCACGGAACCCAATCCGATTTCAGTGCAGACTGTACAAAAATCCAATGGACAACTAGTGATCAGAACTGGGCTTTTGTCGTTCAAAAAAACTGCATTTGCATAATGTGATGAAAGTTCATTGCATTCCATTCATGATTGTATTGTTCTCAGTAAACATTGATGGTGATGATGCCATTGCATAGAACTGGGTGTGCATTCGTCTCACAGATCTCATGTTGAGAACCGCACACAGACACACATACAAACACACACACACACCATACAACATGCCCTCTTTTCCTCGTTTCGCTGTGAGTAATCATTGTGCCAGTGTGCTCACCAAGTTTAGTGTTTCGTTTCACATTGTTTCCGGCATACCCGTTGGTCAGTGCAACAAACCACGACAGTTCAGAGCACGGGCGCACGCGCACACACACAGACAGGCAACGGAGTCAGTATTTGCGTCATCATCATTGGTGATGAACCGGTTTCGAATCCTGTAACCAGGTTGTGGGAAGACAACGAACGCAAGCCACCTCGAAAGAGCCACAACAGCATGTGTGGTAGAATTCTGTGTGTGTGTGTGTGTGCGTACACGTTAGTGTATTTAACCCGTGCACAAAATTCGAACAGGCTTGATCAAATTCAGTGCATTCATGACTAATCAGCAGTTAGTCACAACATTTTGGTAGTTAATCTGTGAATCAATCGTCCCTCAGGTTGAATGCTAGTTGGAACGAAATTATAGACAGATAAATGGTAACAGCATGGGAATCCGTACCACAGTGAGTGAATTCATCAACCCGTGGAGATCATCGGATGATTCAGTTAGCTCACTATGGAAAGTGAGTGAAATGCAAACCTTGTCAGACCGGTTTCCTAGGATCGGTCAGGATAGCTTTGTGATGGCTCAATAGCACTATTTGACTTCTGTTCANACCGATTCTGGCATTTTCTTCCTTACCGATGACGCGAACCAGTATAGACACGGTGAATGAGGCCATTATGTGAAATTATTCCCGACTGAGTAGGCATGAGAACACAAGTGAAAAGCAAACAAGCTCGTTTTCGGTGCTACATCAACTGGCTAAACACAACACCATTCATAACAGATTAAACAGGTGCGGAGAGAAGACATCAGTGAAAGAAATCAGAGTTTAAGGAGAGATGATGGACTTGTGATAATTGATGTTTGTGAGTGTGCCTGTCTGTCTGTGTGTGTGTGTGCGTGGAAAGTGAAAGACGGAGGGTGGTTGTGAATGGGTGAGTAGGTGAATGTGTAAATCCCGGACAGGATGGTGGATATGCACTGCTGATGAGCTCCAATAAGAACGAAACTCGAGTCTATAGTGCTTCCGAGTGTATGGTTCAACCGATGAACTGAGGATTGTGCGTGAAGGTGAAGTCCGAAGGATAGTCAGCTCCAATCAATAAGAATGTGTGAGTTAATGAATGGAGGTTGCGTGACCAGATTGTTAGTGGATGGTTATGGTAAGACTAGTGCTCTTACAAACTGTTTCTTGGCGCACAAGGGGAGGGTGTTGTGAGGAGATGGTTGCTAGTCGTCTCGGTTATTGACAAAATTCTGAACTTGACCTATTTGGATAACCCTTCCTTGACGGTATAAAGAGGACGGAAAGCCTGTGTGATTAGAACCAGTGAAATGGTTTGTAATTGTCGTCACTCCGGTCTGTGTCAAACCCTGATTCAACCAAACGGGATGATGCACCTTGATGCGGTCAGACAGACGTCTCACCATTCGACTCACATGCCTTGCGCCATAGTAACAGAATTGATAAACACAAAATGAGGTCGCATCCGGGAGTAATCTATCTTTGATCTAAGGAGGACAGATTTGGATATGAATATAATACGGGGTTCAGTCGTCAAGATGGTAAATTTGATGCGAGGTTGAATTTGTCTACTCAATATTTTCGCGTACACTTCTCCCCCGAATGGGATGGAGAGACAGACATGCTTCTTATTTGCTGTGTCACACAATGACTCGGGTGGATATGATGTCACGATCTCATGGCTAAACGACTCAGGATATCCATTCTCTAGAAACAAATTTCGTATTCTTCCCAGTTCAAACTGGATAGAGTCCGAAGAACAAAGTTTCTTAAATCTATTGGTTAGGCAGTGAGTTACATTTCGCTTCTGCTGCAATCGGACGAAATTTTGGTGCATGCTTCTATGAATGGAGCCATCTGATTGTCAAGACAAGAACACGTCTAAAAATGTGAGACTATTTGTGGATCTCTTTTCCAGCGTGAACTCTATTTTCGAATGAGCTCTATTAACGTTCTCTAACAGTATATCAGCATCGTATAATACATATGATACATGTCATAATGTCATCCGCATATCGTTTGCAGTTGGATTTTCCTATCGCTTTTGTGAGTGCTCCGTTTTCCAATTTGGCCGAGAACATTTCTGCTAACAGTGGTCCTCATGGCGAACCTATGGATATTATATCATATTTAAAACATGGCTCAGTTTACTAGAAAATAATTCGAAATACATTCATACGGTAAGACCGGTCACAGGTGAGGAGCTTTAATACAACAATACATGAAAGACCCCCCCACCCCACCCCACACCTGCGAGCACCGAAAATAGAAGCAAATTGAGAATGAACACCCAACCGATGATAGATGGGACTGAGAATGCGGAATAGAATACGGAATGTATGTTTTTACTGGAAACTCGGTGTTCGAATGCAACAAAAAGCGGAGCAAAACGGCCGAGTTTGAATGCGCGAGCGCGCGCGCGCGGGCGGGCGGGCGCACACACTACGTATCACAGCCATGTCGATCAGAGTGAGAACACGTGAGCGGAATGTGTGTGTGTGAAGAACCAAGCCTAACTTTTGGACAAGTATGAGTAAGGATCGGTTGAAAAGGACATGTAAACATGGGTACATAGCAGACAGATATCGAATAAGCAAAAAAGGAAAAAATCCATCACTACTCTGAGAGGAAATAGCAATTCTTAGGAAATAAACTGGTGAAATGATTTGCGAGGAGTATGTGTCGACAACTGAGGTGGCAGTAGCACGGAGACGGGGGAGGGGAGATGATAGCAAGATTTGACCCGGAAGGAAATTAGGAACATTTAGGGGATCGTGTGGGAGAAACAATGACTGTTTAAATAGTAACAGCCATATTGATCGCAGAATGAACAGTGAGAAGTGTACTAGGGTGTGCGATACGAGGCTGACAGTTGCAATACTGGTGCAGTGAGCTGATCGCATATCGCATTTATCTTTATATAAAAACAGAAAACGGGGACACAAATGAATTCACGTGATTCGGGATGAAGAATTATCTAAGACAAAGACAGGGAGGGGGACAGAGGTTGATTGGTACAATCAAGCACATCACGAATAGATTCCACAACAGGCGTGAGATGGGGCGCTTAAGCTGGTGTTGTATGCATCTGTCATGTGCATGAGAAAATTTTTAAGGGCTAAATAGAGAGGAACAGGATAAAGCAGAATCAAGGCTCCCGATTTCGCTTGTCTTTCACAGCAATATGAAAACGAGTGAAACGTCGAGAAGTGTCATCCAGATCTCTGGACTCATTCGTCGTCTCGCTGGTTGAATCTGATTTATGTTTGGTCCCGATTTGTGCATTAGTGCCATTAGTTACTTGAAGACTTCTTGATAGCTCGGCAAAACTGGGTCGTTTTTCCGGATCCGCGAGCCAGCAGTTGCTCATGTGTGCTCGAATGTGTTGAGGCATGATCTCCGGAGGGGGGAGGCGATAACCTGGATACGAGCCAAACACAAGGAGGGGAGAGAGAGACAGAGTTAATGTGATTTTTTACGACTGTACATTGGGAAAATGAAATAGAAAATAACAGTGTCAGACTGACCACCACACGCTTCGTGTCTCAGAAGTCGAGGCGAATCGGTCGGTGACTGAATTACCCGCGGACACTGTTTACATGAATCCGCCGACATCCTGGACAACACAACGTCCAATCACTTCAATCCACACTTGCCGAACACTGTTATCCTTCCGGGTGGATCAAAAGTGTGTTGTGACTACTTAAAAGAAAAGCTTCGTTGTAAGTAAAATGGAAGCCTGTTTCATCATTCAATATGAAAGCGTAGTACAGATACAGTGGCATTTATACCTTTAGATGAATGCATCCACTATGCTCCCAGGGTTTCCGTGCAATCTTTGTGAACGTGTAATGAGGCGATAGATAGGATTGATACCAAATGTTCACTCGTTATGATTTATGGATCCTGAAACCATCTATTGCCCCTAATCCTGTAATGGAGACACGAGTACAGTCATTTTTCGAATNGTGTGAGTCGCGTGGACGTTGCATTTTGTATTTTACATGTCTTGTAGGTTGCTCTGAAGCCCATTGCACGGAGAACAACCTACTGTGAGAAGTGTGTCCTACCTACTGTGTATTGAGATTGTCGGTGAGTAGCCAGGGATTGTGTGCGGCGACGACGACGACGAAGAAGAATAACTTGGACTGCGTTGCCCGGAGTCAATCTCCTGCCAGTGTGCTTCGAGTGAACTGGACTAGTCCGTCCTGCATACTTCA